AAGAAATGAAAAATACCGAAATTGAAAAATTCAAGGAACGAATAATTGAAAAATCGGAAAACTAAAAATTTAGAAACTGAAGATCGAAAGATTAAAAAATTAGAATGTGTAAAAACGAACAGATTGTAAAAAAAATCGAAACAATATTGTAAAATCGGAAAAATCGAAAAATTATAAATCGAGAAACCACATCAAAAAGAAAAACCGAAAAATTGAAAAATTCAAAAGATTAAAAACTGAAAAATTGAAAAATCGAAATATTAAAAAATTTAAAAACCAAAATAACTGGGAAACCGAAAAATTCCAAAAACGTAAAATGAAAAATTGAAAAACCAAAAAGCAAAAATCCAGAAAATAAAAAATCAAAAAGTTCAAAAATTCGTAAGTTGAAAAATGGAAACATCAAAGAATTGCAAATACTGAAAAATCGAAAAGTTAAAATTCGAAAAAAAAATTGCCAATTTCAAAAGTGAAAAACTCAAAAAATTTAAAATAGAAAACTAGAAAAATGACAAGTCGAAAACAAAGACACGAAAAATACAAATTGAGAAAGCGGAAACCTAAAACAGCTAAAAATTCGAGAATTGAAAAACTGAAAAATTTTAAATCGAGTAACCGAAAAACCGAAAAACTGCAAAACTGGGAGATTAAAAAATTCCAAAACAAAGACACGGAAAATACCAAAATTGAGAAAGCGGAAACTTAAAACAGCTAAAAATTCGATAATTGAAAAATCGAAAAATTAAAAACCTAGAAATTGAAAAATTGAAAAATTAAAAAAAAACACAATAATTGGAAAATTAAAAAAATCCAAAAACAAAAATCAAGAACCGAAAAACTGAAAAATCCAAAAACCAAAAATCGAGAATGCAAAAAATCGAAAAATTAAAAATCTAAAGTAATTGAAAAACCGCAAAAATCGAAATATTAAAAATCGAAAAATAAAAAAATTCAAAAGTTAAAAAACCACATCAAAAAATTAAAAATTGAAAACTGGAAAAATTGAAAAACGAAAAGCTGAAACATCGAAAAATTATAAATTGAGAAACTTAAAAATCGAAAAGAAAAACTGAAAAACTGGAAACGAAAACTTAAAATAACTAAAAATTCGAGAATTGAAAAACTGAAAAATTAAAAATCGAGTAACTGAAAAACCGAAAAATTGCAAAACTGTGAAACTGGAAAATTCCAAAAATGAAAAATTGAAACATTCAAATGCAGAAAAATCAAAAATTAAAAATCTATAAACTTGAACCTCGAAAAGAAAAATCGAAAACCATAAAAAATTCAAAAGTTGAAAAATCAAAACATTGAAAATTTAAAATTGATGAATTGAAGAAACCGTTTTAGTTTAGTTTAGTTTATAAAATCCAGAGGAGATAATAAGGGGCGTGTCCAACGTGAGGTGAGGTTATGAAAAGAGGCGGGGACTATTGTCTTTAGTAGAGATCAAAATATCAAAAAATTTCAAGTTGCAAATCGAGAAATTGAAGTAACGAAAAACTTAAAAATCGAAAAGAAATATTCCAACATTCAAAAGTTATAAAATCAAAAACTAGAAAAATTACAACTAGAAACGAAAAATACTAAAATTAAAAACTGAAAAATTAAAAAATCAACAAACGTAAAAATGAAGAAATCAAAACTCCAAAAGGAAAATGGAAAAATTCACAAGTAACAAAATCTAAAAATTTTAAACTGGAAACTAGGAAAATTACAAATCAACAAATAAAAAAATCAAAAATTGAAAATTCGAAATATCGAAAAATTACAACATTCAAAAGTGGAGAAATTGAAAAATCAAGAAATTTAAAAATTCCAAAGTCGAAAAGCAAAACGTCAAAAAATTTAAAATTGCCAGTCACGAAAAACTGAAAAATTAAACCTCCAAAAATCGAAAAATTAAAAATTGGGAAACGAAAAATACCAAAAATGAAAAAACAAAAACTGGAAATATTTAAAAAAATTCCATAATTGAAAAGTCGATATTTTGAAACATTAAAAAACAAAAAGATTGGAAAATTAAAAAATTCAGAAGTTAAAAAATCTAAAAATTTAAAAATTAAGAGCCACAAAAATTGGAAATCGAAAAATTCAAGAAAAATTTAAAAATCCAGACAACAGAAATTGCCAATTTCAAAAGTTAAAAACTCAAAAAATTTAAAATAGAAAACTAGAAAAATGACAAGTCGAAAACAAAGACACGAAAAATACAAATTGAGAAAGCGGAAACCTAAAACAGCTAAAAATTCGAGAATTGAAAAACTGAAAAATTTTAAATCGAGTAACCGAAAAACCGAAAAACTGCAAAACTGGGAGATTAAAAAATTCCAAAACAAAGACACGGAAAATACCAAAATTGAGAAAGCGGAAACTTAAAACAGCTAAAAATTCGATAATTGAACAATCGAAGAATTAAAAACCTAGAAATTGAAAAATTGAAAAATTAAAAAAACACAATAATTCGAAAATTAAAAAAATCCAAAAACAAAAATCAAGAACCGAAAAACTGAAAAATCCAAAAACCAAAAATCGAGAATGCAAAAAATCGAAAAATTAAAAATCTAAAGTAATTGAAAAACCGCAAAAATCGAAATATCAAAAATCGAAAAATAAAAAAATTCAAAAGTTAAAAAACCGCATCAAAATATTAAAAATTGAAAACTGGAAAAATTGAAAAACGAAAAGCTGAAACATCGAAAAATTATAAATTGAGAAACTTAAAAATCGAAAAGAAAAACTGAAAAACTGGAAACGAAAACTTAAAATAACTAAAAATTCGAGAATTGAAAAACTGAAAAATTAAAAATCGAGTAACTGAAAAACCGAAAAATTGCAAAACTGTGAAACTGGAAAATTCCAAAAATGAAAAATTGAAACATTCAAATGCAGAAAAATCAAAAATTAAAAATCTATAATCTTGAACCTCGAAAAGAAAAATCGAAAACCATAAAAAAATCAAAAGTTGAAAAATCAAAACATTGAAAATTTAAAATTGATGAATTGAAGAAACCGTTTTAGTTTAGTTTAGTTTATAAAATCCAGAAATGAAAAATACCGAAATTGAAGGAACGAAAAATTGAAAAATCGGACAACTAAAAATCGAGAAACTAAAGATCGAAAGATTAAAAAATTCAAAACTTAAAATGTGTAAAAAAATCGGGAAACTAAGAAATTAATAAAGGAGAACAAATAAATCTAAAAATTAAAAATTGGAAAAATTGCAAAATCGTAAAATTGAAGCAAAAAAATGAAAACATCAAAATCTAAAATATTCAAAAATTCAAAATTCAAAAAATTTCAAGTTGAAATCTTAAAAATTACAAAACTGAAAGAATGAAAAATTGAAAAATCGATTGAGAAATCGAAAAAGTTGAAAAATTGAAAAACAAAAAACTAAATTAAAAAATGAAAAAAGTATAAAATCTAAAATTCCAAAATCGAAATATTGGAAAATTGAAGAATTAAAAAAACAAAATGATTAGATAATCGAAAATTTTCAAAACCGTAAAAATGATGAAACTGAAAAACCGAAAAATATTAAATATACTGTATGTTAAATTATTTTCATTGTCAGGTTTTAGGTTGTTTCTTGCCCTACTAAACCCAGAAACATATAAATCTATCACAAAATTTTCCTTCAATACACAAATAATTACACAACCGTTGAACAAACCATAAAAAATCACCGATTTACTTGAACGCTTTTGCGGTACCACCGGCAGCCAAATCCAAACAATGACTAGTGGACTAGTGCACATGACGAAAAAACCCCAAAAACTCCGTCCAAAAATCAAATTCCGTAACGCTATATTTTTTCACCGCCGTCGCAACACGTCCTCGAACACTTAATTCCAAACATAAAACCGATAATTGTTAAACGTTATTAAATTCGACAAGACCTTTACCAATTATCTCCATTAACATGAACGCCATAAAACTTTCATTAATTTGAATATAGGTTTTTGAGGTCAGAATAGCTTATTGTAACACAAATTCAGTCAACCTTATGTGTATAACACCGCCGCGTTTATTTAATATTTAATACCGTCTAAATTTATTTTTCAAAAAATTGCGGTGTTGCATTAAATGTCAAACAACATTCGGTGACATTTGAGTACGAGTTCAAGTTTAATGGTCCGCTCGGTAATTTATTTTATTATGGTTGTTGTTTTTCCAAATTACAGTTTTTTTAATAACTATAATGAAGGAAAGCTCTTAAAATCTGTAATTTAACCTACTTTCTATTTATAGATTCCGAGAATAGCATAATAATAACAGTAAAATGGAAAAAGTGCAGTGGACGTCGTATGACAATGGAGGCGATTTATGCAACCAACAATACACCAACTATTGAAAAATTCCATAGTCGTAAACAAGTGTCAAATTTTCCCACATTAAAGCTCGCTGAATAAAAGCAGCCCACAGGCATGCTTTAAAATTGAAATTTATTCACCGATAAAACTTCAAACGTTCTCATCACGTAACAATGTAACACCAACAATTCCAAGAACACTTACTCATCCCATTAGCACTAATGCTTAAATTAAGCAAGTCACAATAGAACAAAAAAAAAACAGGAAAAAAACTCACCAATTCGGCAGAATCTCCGATGAAACAAACAGGACAACATCTTCGGGAACTATGCAACCAACCAAACGCCCATCAAGGATTTACCCCTTCACTTCTGGACAAAAAACACAAAAAAGCATTAGAATTGCAAAACGCATAACGGGAAAGTGCAGCTATTTCGAGCAAAAAACAACGCACAATTTACCAGAGGCTCCAAAAATCAAACGCGACGAAAATTTTGTCAACCGAGTATGCTCTGAAACGAAATCAAATTTTCACTAACTTTGACATGGAAACCCGACACTAAAACAAAAGGCGGTGCGAACTCGACCAGCGACCACAGCCGACTAAGCACACTCCACTTTTATTGTTATTTCTTTGTCTGTATGATTAAGTCGCATAATTAGTTTAATAATAATGCAATTACAGTCGAAATTGGCTTTCCCTCTCCAGTCGCCGCATTTATGCTTTATATAACCAGCGGAAACCAGCGGAAGGATAAATTACCGTTTTTTGTGACAAAATTTTCAAAAATTGGTCGCTTTAGCTACGGTAGCGCGAGTGCGCGGTAGCGCCAAATACGCGGTAGATCAAACCACCTGACATTGATTTTTGAACCAAACCTACTCCGTGAAAGCGGTCACGTAGCTCATGTTTGTGCCAATTCGAAGACCATGTCGCAGTTTTTCACGAACGAGGCGGTTAGTTTGGAAAAAGGGGTGGATTCGGTGATTAATAAACCCACCGAGAGTGAACTAATCGACGAAACATATGAACTAAAAACGTGCTTGGAGTGGATCAAATCCAACGAATTCGAAAAGGTGCGTACTTTATTTATTGTCAGTGTTGTATTATTGTTGTTGCAGGTGTGTCTGCAGTTCCCCGACCACCTTCTCCAAGACTCGTCTGAAGTGGCTTTGAGGTTACAAAAAGCCCTAGGCCGAAACGTGTACATTTTGGCCGACACCGCCTACGAAAGGTAAAATCGCCGCTTGTAAAGCCCGTCTAAACGAATTTTGTAGCTGTTGCGTCGACTACGTCGCCGCCAACCACGTCAACGCCGACGCCATCATCCACTTCGGTCCAGTATGTTTCTCAAAAACGTCAGCCACCATCCCCTATTTGAACATTTATGAGAAAAAGTGGCCCGATTTGGATGAACTCCACCAAACTCTGACTGAAACACATAAAAACTTGGATCCGAACCTCGTGATTTTGCTCGACACAGACTTCATACACTTACAAGGTAAAAGTGAGGTTATGTCACACTCGTACTAAAATAACTCTTTTTAGCCAAAATAGCAGCTAAGTTTGACCCAATTGGCGTCCAAACGATTGATTCGGGCCACCTTAGTCTGAAAGACGCCACGGTTGTCTTTATAGGGGGGCGCAACCACCACCGCAAACTCCCTAACCTCAAATTTTCGCACCAGCGTGAGTCCGCAAACTTTCGATAAAACACCCTCTATTGTGTCTTTTCAGCCAAAAACTTATACTACTTCAGTCAAGAGCAGCCCCCACGCTTGACTAACTACGAAACCGACGAAAAAATCCTACGCCGAAGGTATTTTCTAATAGAAAAAATTAAAGATAGCAATACTGTTGGTATAGTTATAGGAACTTTGGGCGTTAAAAATTACTTGCAGGCTATAGAACGGTTAAAAAAACTGATCGCTTTACACAACAAAAAATACTATTTGGTGAGCGTTGGCAAACCCACGGTGGCCAAACTCGCCAATTTTCCAGAGGTAAAAAAAAACGATGACGCGATTTATCAAACTTGTATTTTTTTTATTTTAGATTGACGTTTACGTGGTGGTCACTTGCGCCCTGAACGAGATTTATGACAGCAGAGATTTCTACAAGCCGATAGTGACGATTTATGACGTCGAAATGGCGCTGAATCCTAGTGATAACGGGCTGGGTTTCACGTATGACTATAATGACGTGATTGCGAGACCTATCGCGGACGTGGTGGTTAGTGATTCCAGTGATGTGAGTTTGGTGACGGGGAAGATAAGGGGCGGGTCTAACGTGAGTGACCACGGTGAGGTTATGGCGAAAGAGGCGGGGACTGTGGTTTTGAGTGAGTCGCACGGGGCGGGGTTTCTGGCTGCGCGCAGTTGGAAGGGGCTGGAGCGCGATTTGGGGCGGGGCGAGGTTAAACTGGCGGAGGAGGGGCGACGCGGGATCGCTCAACAGTATGAGGAGGAAAGCGCGCACTGAGTTTTGTTGTTTTTAAATAAATAAATGATTGTTGGATGATGTGTTTGTTTTGGGGGTGGGGATAACTATGGCGGGGGTATTAATTTGTGTGAGATTCCTGGAGGGGAAACTAAGGGGCGTGTCCAACGTGAGATGAGGTTATGAAAGGAAGCGGGGACTATTGCCTTTAATATATACAGAAGAAAAACTGAAAAATCGAGAAACTGAAAAATCAAAAAAATTCAGAAGTCGAAAACCAAAATATCAAAAAATTTCAAATTGCAAATCGAGAAATTGAAGTAACGAAAAACTGAAAAATCGAAAATTAGACATCGTGAAAGTGAAAAACGGAAAAATTAAAAATCGAAAGAAAAATTCCAACATTCAAAAGTTATAAAATCGAAAACTAGAAAAAATCCAAGTCGAAAAATTAAAAACCTAAAAGGGAAAAATACTAAATCTCAAATATTGAAACATTAAAAAAACAAAAATATTGGAAAATTAAAAATCTCAAAAATGTAAGAATGAAGAAACAAAAACTGAAAAATCCAAAAATTGAAAAATTAAAAAATGAAAAGCTAGCAAAATTGCAAATCGAAAAATTCAAGAAAACCTTTGAAATCCAGACGAAAAAAATTATAAAACCGTAAAACTGAAAAATTGAAAAATCACAAAATTTCAAAATTCAACGTCAAAAAATTTAAAACTACAAATTAAAAAATTGAAGAAACGAAAAATTGAAAAATCAAGATTGCATTAAAAATCAAAAAATTAAAGTCGGGAAACTCAAAAATCGAAATAAAACTGCAAAATTGAAAAGATAGAAAAATCGAAAAATTTAAAATTTAAAACTAGAAAAAATAAATATCCAAAAATTGAAAAATTAAAAACTGGGAAACGAAAAAGACTAAAATTGAAAAAACGAAAACTTAAAATATCTAAAAATTCCATAATTGAAAAATCGAAAAACTTAAAAAATTTTAAATTTGTGAATTAAAAAACTGCAAAAGCGAAATAATGATAAATTAAAAAAATAAAATGATTGTAAAATTAAAAAATTCCAAAAACGTAGAAATGAAGAAACAAACAATTGAAAAATCCAAAAATCGAGAATGTAAACAATCGAAAAATTAAAAAATTCAAAAGTTGAAAAATTGAAAATCTACAAAAATTGCAAATCCGAAAATTCATGAAAAACTGAAAAATCCAGAAAAAAAATCGAAAAATTATAATGTAAAACTCAAAAATTGAGAACATTCAAAATCAAAAAATTAAAAAATTCAAAGTCGAAAATCAAAATATTTAAAACTGCTGATTAAAAAAATTGAAGAAAAGCTGAAAAATCAAACTTGCATTAAAAATCAAAAAATTAAAAATTGGTAAACTTAAAAATCGAAAGAAAAAACTGCAAAAGTCAAAAGATAAAAAATCGAAAAATTCAAAATTGAAAACTGGAGAAATTGCAAATCGAAAAATTGAAGAAACGATAGTTGAAAAATGGAAAACATTAAAATCGAAAATAAAAAATCCAAAAGAAAAATCGGAAAAAGCAAAAATTCAAAATAAAAAATCCAAAAATTTTAAATTGATGACCGGAAAAATTGCAGAACGAAAAAACTAAAGAAACGAAAAATTAAAAATCAGAAAACTGAAAATTCCAGAAGAAACATTGAAAAGTCGAAAAATTGAAAAATCAAAAAAATTCAAAAGTGAAAATCAAAACATCAATAAAATTAAAATTGCAAATCGAAAAATTAAGCATCGCAAACCGAAAAACCGAAAAATTAAAAATCAAGCAACTAAAAAATGGAAAGGAAAAGTTGGAAAATTCAAAGGTTGTAAACTCAAAAAATTTAAAATCTAAAACCAGAAAAATACTAAAATTAAAAAAAGACAGAATAATTGGAAAATTTAAAAATCCCAAAAACATAAAAATGAAGAAATCACAAATGGAAAAATTTATAAACTAAAAATCCAGAATATATTAAAAATTGAAAAATTTAAATATTCAAAATCGACAAAAAAATTCAAGAAACTTAAAAATCGAAAAATTCGAAAGTTTAAAACTGAAAAATTGCAAATCGAAAAACTGATGAAACGAGATGTCAAAAAATCCAAAAATTGGAAATGGAAAAAATTAAAATCAAAAATGAAAAAGACAGAAGAAAAACCGAATAATGCGAAAATTCAAAATTGAAGAAATGAAAAATAAAAAAAATCGGAAAACGACAAATTCCAAAAGGAAAAATTAAAAAATTAAAAAACTCGAAATTCGAAAAATCGAAAAACTGAGAAATTCGAGTAAAAAAATGGAAAAATTTAAGATCGAAAAGCTAGAAAAATTGTAAATTATAAAACTGCAAACCTGAAAAATTAAGAAATTGAAAAATCAAAAAATTTAAAAATTCCAAGTCGAAAGTAAAACATCAAAAAATTTAAATCTGCAAATTAAAAAAACTGAAGAAACGAAAAACTGAAAATACAAAATTGCATTAAAAGTGAAAAAATTAAAAATCGGGAAACACAAAAAACAAAAAAAAACTGCAAAATTCAAAAGATAAAAAAAGAAAAATTTAAAATTGAAAACTAGAAAAAACGAAAACATAAAATATCTAAAAATTCGATAATTGAAAAATCGAAAATCTGTAAAATTAAAAAATTGCAAAATCGAAAAATTGAAAAATTTAAAAAACAATATAACTGAAAAATTAAAAATCCCAAAAACCTAAAAATGAAAAATATAAAAACCAAAAATCGAAAAATAACAAAATTCAAATGTTGAAAAATCTAAAAATAAAAAAATCAAGAAACTTAAAAATGGAAAAAAGTGATTTCAAAAGTGAAAAATCCAGAAGAAAAATTGAAAAATGCGAAAATTCAAAATAAACAATTGAAACTGGAAAAATTGCAAATTGAAAAATTGAACACAGAAAAATTAAAACAAGGAAAACTGAAAATTCCAAAAGGAAAATGGAAAAATTTTAAAATTCACGAGAGGCAAAATCTTAAAATTTCAAACTGAAAACTAGGAAAATTGCACATCGACAAATGAAAAAAACGAAAAATTGTAAATTCGGAATATCGAAAAATTGCAAAATTGAAAAGTCGAGAAATTGAAGTAACGAAAATTGAAAAATTAAACATCCAGAATGTGAAAAAATCGAAAAATTAAAAATTGGGAAACGAAAAATACCAAAATTGGAAATACAAAAACTTAATTTCTTGAATTGAAAAATTGAAAAATAAAAAAATCGAAAAACTACGAATTCTAAAATTAAAAATCGAAATGCTGAAAAATTTATTTGAAAAAAACATGATTGAAAAAAATTTCAAAATCCAAACACGTGACAACGAACAAAAAATGTGAAAAATCTAAAAACCAAAAATCGGGAATTTAAAAACAGAAAAATTTAAAAATTCCAAAGTTGAAAAATCGAGAAATTGGGAAACAGAATACCAAAATTGAAAAAACGAAAACTTACATTTTTAAAAATTTCGATAATTGAAAAATCGAAAAATTAAAAAATCCATAAACTGCAAAATTGCAAAATCGAAATACTGAAAAATTTATTTCAAACAAAAATATTGAAAACATTAAAAAAGTCGAAAATCTAAAAACGTAAAAATGAAGTAACAAAAACTGTAGAAACGAAACGTTAAAAAATCGAAAAATTAATAAAATGGAAAAAATTAAAATTAAAAATGAAAAATCCCGAAGAAAATTCGAAAAATGCGAAAATTCAAAATCAACAGTCGAAAAATTTTAAATAGCAAAGTGGAAAAATTGCAAATCGTAGAATTCAAGAAACGAAAAATTAAAAAAAGGTAAACTGAAAATTCCAAAAGAAAAATGAAAAATTGAAAAATACACAAGTGGTAACATCTAAAAATTTTAAATTTCAAATGGAGAATTTCAGGTAACGAAAAACTGAAAAATTAAACATCGAGACACTAAAAAATCGAAAAATTAAAAACTGAGAAACGAAAAATACCAAAAATCAAAAAACTTCAAAATTATAAAATTGAAAAGTTAAAAAGTTGCAAAATCAAATATTGAAAAATTCAAAGTCGAAAATTAAACATCAAAAAATTTAAAACTTGAAAATCGAAAAAAAAACTGCAAAATTTAAAAGATAAAAAATCAAAAAATTTAAAATTGAAAACCTGAAAAATTACAAGTCGAAAAATCCAAAACTGAAAAATTAAAAAAAAATGTAAAGCTAAAATATCTAAAAATTCTGTGATTGAAAAATCGAAAAACTGCAAAAATTGCAAATAGAAAAATTCAAGAAACGAAAAATTAAAACATCAAAAATCGAGAAACTAAAAAAACGGAAAAATTAAAAAATTCGACATTTGAAAACTCGAAAAATTAAAAACCAAGAAACGTATGTGAGCTGAGAAAAATAAGGGGCGTGTGCGCGACGGTGAAGTTACGATAAGAGGCGGAAACTATTGCCTTGAGTGCGTCACAAGGGGCGCGGTTTCTAGCCGCGCGCACTTGGAAACGTCTGGAGCGAGATTTGGGGCGGGGCGACGTTAAAATCGCGAAGCCCCGCCCACCGATTCCTACTATTTCAAAATAAACAAACGACTGTTGGATTCTGTCGTGTTTGTTTGGGGGTAGGAACAACAACAACAACAGAATTATCAATTTATTAGTCTCTCTTTTCTGAAAAAAATAAATAAGTGGCTTACTTATTTAACTAAAAAACAACGGATCGGTTACAAAATTGCACGATTAGTACTTATTGACTATCAAAATTGCCCACGTTCCACGCCACCACCGTGACGTGGTCCAACTTCCCCGGGAGATTCTGCACCCTCTCCAGACCCCGTTTCCTCCGAATTTTCTTCTCTTGTTGAGACACCTCGACTAGAGCCCCATTTCGGTTGTCGAAATACAGCTCCGGATCCTCTAACGTGTGTCTTTTAGCGGACGTGATACTAAACGTAAAACTGACTAAATTCTCGCACAGTTTTTTGGCAGTGGTGCAGGGTCTGTCCCTCCCGCTGATCCCGTTTTTGAGCACGTCCTCGATTAGTAGTAATTGGAGTTCGTAGCGTTGTAAAGGCGTGACGTAGGGAATCCCGTCCTCGTTCCGCGCCACTTGGTGCTTAGCCACGCCCCCTGACCGCACCTCGATCGTAGTTTTGGACCGCAAAAATTTGTACCCTTGTGGCGTGGCAGTCGAACTCGAGCCCGCATTCTCCTTCTGCTGACTAGACATCTGCTTGCGGAGACTACTGGTTTTGTTGTCGACGACTGTCACCGCGCGAGCGCCGCCCCGCGAAGGCGTGGCCTTGTTCTGGCTCCGCCTTGGCGGCTTGACCGGCGGCTCCGACGACGCGGGCGCGCGCCACACCCTCGTCGCCATCTCCCCCACGCAACTATTGACCGTGAAGCGACACACGTTCTCCTTTTGCTGACTAGACCAAAAAATCCTACGCCAAAGGTATTTTCTAATAGAAAAAATTAAAGATAGCAATACTGTTGGTATAGTTATAGGAACTTTGGGCGTTAAAAATTACTTGCAGGCTATAGAACGGTTAAAAAAATTGATCGCTTTACAAAACAAAAAGTACTATTTGGTGAGCGTTGGCAAACCCACGGTGGCCAAACTCGCCAATTTTCCAGAGGTAAAAAAAAACGATCACGCGGTTTATCAAACTTGTATTTTTTTTTTATTTTAGATTGACGTTTACGTGGTGGTCACTTGCGCCCTGAACGCGATTTATGACAGTAGAGATTTCTATAAGCCGATAGTGACGATTTATGACGTCGAAATGGCGCTGAATCCTAGTGATAACGGGCTGGGTTTCACGTATGACTATAATGACGTGATTGCGAGACCTATCGCGGACGTGGTGGTTAGTGATTCCAGTGATGTGAGTTTGGTGACGGGGAAGATAAGGGGCGGGTCTAACGTGAGTGACCACGGTGAGGTTATGGCGAAAGAGGCGGGGACTGTGGTTTTGAGTGAGTCGCACGGGGCGGGGTTTCTGGCTGCGCGCAGTTGGAAGGGGCTGGAGCGCGACTTGGGGCGGGGCGAGGTTAAACTGGCGGAGGAGGGGCGGCGCGGGATCGCTCAACAGTACGAGGAGGAAAGCGCGCACTGAGTTTTGTTGTTTTTAAATAAATAAATGATTGTTGGATGATGGCGTGTTTGTTTTGGGGGTGGGGACAACTATAGCAGGGTTATTAATTTGTATGAGCTCACTATAGGAGATAATAAGGGGCGTGTCCAACGTGAGGTGAGGTTATGAAAAGAGGCAGGGACTATTGTCTTTAGTAGAGATCAAAATATCAAAAAATTTCAAATTGCAAATCGAGAAATTGAAGTAACGAAAAACTTAAAAATCGAAAAGAAAAATTCCAACATTCAAAAGTTATAAAATCGAAAACTAGAAAAATTACAACTAGAAACGAAAAATACTAAAATTAAAAACTGAAAAATTAAAAAATCAACAAACGTAAAAATGAAGAAATCAAAACTCCAAAAGGAAAATGGAAAAATTCACAAGTAACAAAATCTAAAAATTTTAAACTGGAAACTAGGAAAATTACAAATCAACAAATAAAAAAATCAAAAATTGAAAATTCGAAATATCGAAAAATTACAACATTCAAAAGTGGAGAAATTGAAAAATCAAGAAATTTAAAAATTCCAAAGTCGAAAAACAAAACGTCAAAAAATTTAAAATTGCCAGTCACGAAAAACTGAAAAATTAAACCTCCAAAAATCGAAAAATTAAAAATTGGGAAACGAAAAATACCAAAAATGAAAAAACAAAAACTGGAAATATTTAAAAAAATTCCATAATTGAAAAGTCGTTATTTTGAAACATTAAAAAAACAAAAAGATTGGAAAATTAAAAAATTCAGAAGTTAAAAAATCTAAAAATTTAAAAATTAAGAGCCACAAAAATTGGAAATCGAAAAATTCAAGAAAAACTTAAAAATCCAGACAAAAAAATTAAAAAACTGAAAAATTGAGAAATTGAAAAATCAAAAAATTAAAAAATTCAACGTCAAAAAATAAAACAAAAAACTTAAAACTACAAATTAAAACATTGAAGAAACGAAAAACTGAAAAATTAAAATTGCATTAAAATCAAAAAATTCAAGTCGGGAATCTCAAAAATCGAAAAAAAACTGCAACAAAATTCAAAAGATAAAAAACGTACAAATGAAGACACAAAGCTGAAAAATCAAACTTGCATTAAAAGTCAAAAAATTAAAAATTGGGAAACAAAAATCGAAAGAAAAAAATGCAAAAGTCAAAACATAAAAATCGAAAAAATCAAATTTGAAAACTGGAGAAATTGCAAATCGAAAAATTGAGGGAACGATAGTTGAAAAATGGAAAAATTTAAAATCGAAAATAAAAAATCCAAAGAAAAATCGAAAAAATCAAAAATTCAAAATAAAAAATCCAAAAATTTTAAATTGATGACCGGAACAATTGCAAAACGAAAAATTAAAAATCGGAAAACTGAAAATTCCAGAAGAAACATTGAAAAGTCGAGAAATTGAAAACTCCAAAAAATTCAAAAGTGAAAATCAAAATATCAAAAAATTTAAAATTGCAAATCGAAAATTTAAGCATCGCCAAACTGAAAAACCGAAAAATTAAAAATCAAGCAACTTAAAAATGGAAAGGAAAATTTGGAAAATTCAAAGGTTCTAGCTCAAAAAATTTAAATTCTAAAACTAGAAAAATACTAAAATTGAAAAAGACAAAATAATTGGAAAATTTAAAAATCCCAAAAACATCAAAATGAAGAAATCACAAACTTAAAAATCGAAAAATTCGGAAGTTTAAAACTGAAAAATTGCAAATCGAAAAACTGATGAAACGAAATGTCAAAAAATCCAAAAATGGGAAATGGAAAAAATTAAAATCAAAAATGAAAAAACCAGAAGAAAAATCGAAAAATGCGAAAATTCAAAAATCGCAAATCGAGAAATTGAAGAAACGAAAAATAAAAAATCTCGAAATTCGAAAATCAAAACATCAAAAAATTTAGAATTTCAAATCGAGAAACTAATGAAACGAAAAACTGAAAAATTCAACATCCAGAAACTGAAAAATCAAAAATTGGGAAACAAAAAAAACCAAAATTGAAAAAAGGAAAACAAAAGTATGTAAAAATGACAGCTGAAAAATCGAAAAACTGCAAAATTGTAAAATTAAAAATTTTAAAATTGCAAAATCAAAATATTGAAAAATAAAAAAAAAGCAAAATGACCGGAAAATTAAAAAATCCCAAAAACCTAAAAATGAAACAAAAAATTCGAAAATTCAAAAGTTGAAAAATCGAAAAATGAGAAATTCAGGTTAAAAAATTGAAAATTTTAAAATCGGAAAGCTAGAAAAATTGTAAATTGTAAAACTCTAAACCTGAAAAATTAAAAAATTGAAAAATCAAAAAATTAAAAATTCCAATTCGAAAGTAAAACATCAAAAAATTTAAATCTGCAAATTAAAAAAACTGAAGAAACGAAAAACTGAAAATACAAAATTGCATTAAAAGTGAAAAAAATAAAAATCGGGAAACACAAAAATCAAAAAAAAACTGCAAAATTCATAAGATAAAAAAAAAGAAAAATTTAAAATTGAAAACTGGAAAAAACGAAAACACAAATTATCTAAAAATTCGATAATTGAAAAATCGAAAATCTGTAAAATAATTGAAAAATTAAAAATCCCAAAAACGTAAAAATAAAAAATCCAAAAACCAAAAATCGAGAATATAAAAATCGAAAAATTAAAAAATTCAAATGTTGAAAAATCTAAAAATAAAAAAATCAAGAAACTTAAAAATGGAAAAAATTGACTAAAAATTCGAAAAATTAAAAATCAGGAACTTGAAAATCGAAAATAAAATTTGCAAAATTGAAGAGGTAAAACAGAAAATTTTTAAACTGAAAACTACAAAAGTTACAAGTCAAAAAATTAAAAACCAAAACTTAAAATATCCTACAATTCGATAAGTGAAAAATCAAAATATTGAAAAATAAAAAAAAACAACGATTGGAAAATTTTAAAAATTCAAAATCTTAAAAATGAAGAGACGAAAATAAGAAAAATCCGAAAACCAAAAATCGGGAAATAAAAAAAAACAAAACAAAAAAATTGAAGAAACGAAATGTTGAAAATTCAAAAGTTCAAAATGGAAAAAAAATAAAACAAAAATAGAAAAATCTTAAATTGATAACTAGAAAACTTACAATTCAAAAAAATGAAAACATGGAAAACTGAAAATTCCAGAAGAAAATGAAAAAATTGAAAAACTCACAAGTTGAAAAATCTAAAAATTTTAAACTGAAAATTAGAAAATTGCAAACCGCCAAATGAAAAAAAAAGAAATATTGAAAATTCGAAAAAACACAAAATTGTAAAACTGGAAAATTGAAAAAAATTAATGTCATTCAAACATCGAAAATCAAAACATCCAAAAAAACTGAGAAATTGAAAATTTTAATATCGGGAAACTGAATAAACGAAAAATTAAAAATCGGGAAACTTAAAAATACAAAATTCAAAAGCTGAAGAAACGAAAAATTAAAGTTAAAAAATCGAAAAATTTAAAATCGAAAAAGGGGAAAAATTGCAAATCGAGAATTTGGAGAAACCAAACGTTGGAAAGTCGAAAACTTAGAAATCTAAAAATCAAAAGTCGAGAATAAACCATCAAAAAATTTAAAACTGCAATTCAAAAAATTGAAAAAACGAGAAACTGAAAAACAGAAATATTAAAAGTCGAGAAACTAAAGTGGAAAAATTCGATAGTTGAAAAATCGAAAAATTAAAAATTAGGAAACTTAAACATCGAAAAGGGAAATTGCAAAATTCAAAAATTTAAAACTAGAAAAATATGAATCGAAAATTTGAAAAATCGATAGTTGAAAATTCAGATGTAAGCTTGGTGTCGGGGAAAATAAGGGGCGTGTCTAACCTGAGTAACCACAGTGAGGTTATGGCAAAAGAGGCGGGGATTATTGCCTTGAGTGCGTCACACGGGGCGGGGTTTACTTGCGCGCGTTTGGAGCGGGACTAGGGGCGGGGTGACGTTATAATGGCGGAGCCTCATCCACTGAGCCCTACTGTTTCAATATAAACAGAGGATTTTTGGATAATGACGTGTTTGTTTGGGTGTAGATAACAACAACAACAGAATTATCAATTTATTAGTCTCTCTTTTTTTCTGAAAAAAATAAATAAGTGGCTTACTTATTTAACTAAAAAACAACGGATCGGTTACAAAATTGCACGATTAGTACTTATTGACTATCAAAATTGCCCACGTTCCACGCCACGACCGTGACGTGGTCCAACTTCCCCGGGAGATTCTGCACCCTCTCCAGACCCCGTTTCCTCCGAATTTTCTTCTCTTGTTGAGACACCTCGACTAGAACCCCATTTCGGTTGTCGAAATACAGCTCCGGATCCTCTAACGTGTGTCTTTTAGCGGACGTGATACTAAACGTAAAACTGACTAAATTCTCGCACAGTTTTTTGGCAGTGGTGCAGGGTCTATCCCTCCCGCTGATCCCGTTTTTGAGCACGTCCTCGATTAGTAGTAATTGGAGTTCGTAGCGTTGTAAAGGCGTGACGTAGGGAATCCCGTCCTCGTTCCGCGCCACTTGGTGCTTAGCCACGCCCCCTGACCGCACCTCGATCGTCGTTTTGGACCGCAAAAATTTGTACCCTTGTGGCGTGGCAGTCGAACTCGAGCCCGCATTCTCCTTCTGCTGACTAGACATCTGCTTGCGGAGACTACTGGTTTTGTTGTCGACGACTGTCACCGCGCGAGCGCCGCCCCGCGAAGGCGTGGCCTTGTTCTGGCTCCGCCTTGGCGGCTTGACCGGCGGCTCCGACGACGCGGGCGCGCGCCACACCCTCGTCGCCATCTCCCCCACGCAACTATTGACCGTGAAGCGACACACGTTGGGGTCGAAGTTGTCCGTCAAGCCGTCGCTCGCCACCATGACGATGTCCCCCTTGTTCAGCGTCGTGATGCTAAGCGTCAGGTTGCTCAGCTCGGGGTTGATCCCGTCCACCGGCCCCAGCGCCCCCAGCGCGTCCCGCATGTCCCTGTTGCAGTTGATGTCGTGCGAGCCCTTCGTCAGCTCCCGCAGCCCGTGCCGCTGCGAGTACACGTACGCCAGCGTGTCTCCCACGTTGCACACGCAGCACACGAACCTCTGGACGTCGTCGCGCCGCTTCAGCGGCAGCACCACGGCCACCGTGAGCGTCGTCAGCATGCCCTTGTTCTCGAGGATGAGGTCGTGCGCGCAGCTGAACGCCCGCAACAGACTCACGAAGACCTCGCGCGTGTTGCCGACGCGGTTGGCGCAGGCGGCGGCGCCGCCCCCGGCCTCGTCGCTCTTGATTGTCAGGCTATCGAACGGCTTCGTGTCGTTGAAGATGGTCTTGTTGAGGTAGTGCAAGCTGCCGTGGACGGCCGATTTGGCGGCGATGCTGGCTTTCTCGCCCCAGTTGACGCCGTCGGCGACGGCCACGATGGCCGAGTTGCCTCTGGCGATGACGCCGAAGCAGTCGGCGATGGGGTCGCCGTTCTTGTTGTCGGTGACCTGGTTGCGGTCGTACAAGGAGTCGGAGATGCCGTAGACGAGCTCCGACTTCTTGTTCCACTCGGACGGGAGGGCGGAGTCGTCGGGGGAGTGCAGGGTGGACGGGCTGGTGGGGTCGTCACCTAGAACGCAACGATTTGATTGGGCGGAGTCACGCGGGCGGGGCGTAGGACAAGGTGGCTAAATTGATTCCGTGGGAATTTTGCTAAATGAGGCGATTATTTACAGATGGATTAATTTGGAGCAAAATGCCAACTTTGTCGAGCGGAAATCAAACGGTGGCCAATCGCTGGGGAAGAATTTTTGATTTGGAGTTTTGATCGAAGTTTAACATTTTTACGACAAAACCATCCCAAAAGCACCGAATTTGACACAAAATGCGACGCGCTTCGTCAATTGGAAATTTCTAGAGGTTCTAGAGTCTCTAAAAATATTAAAAATTACTGATGACGCCACATTGCGACGAAACACGTCGACACTTTGCATCAAGTGCATCTCAGCGTGATAACACACAAGTGATAAAGTGAGTCCTAATTTGTTGCTGTTAAAGTTCGATATTTATTACGAACATCAAAAGTGAGGTTAGAATCACATTTTTAGCTTCCTGTAATACTAAACTTTAAACCAAAACTTGGTAACAAATTTAATTCCAGGTTAAACCCAAAAATTAATAATTTTTCACACAACTTTTAGGTAACTTTTATATTCGTCACCTCTGTCATTCGATTTTGACACTTAAATATTCTGGCAGAAGGTTCAAAATTAAATTTGGACAACTAAAACCACTCTGGTGTCAGAAGAACGTTTGGCGTCAAAGTTTTCACGTTTTAAGCTTTTAATTCCAAATGAAACCAAAAAATGAAACATTTTCTACACAGTTTTTAGGTTAGTTTTTTTAAATTGCCACTTCTGTCATTTGATTTTGACACTTAAATACCCTGACGGAAGGTTCAAAATTAAACTTTGACAACTAAATGTACTCTGGTGCCAAAAGAACATTTGGCGTCAAAATTTTCACCTTTTAAGCTTTTAATTCCAGATTAAACCAAAAAATAAAACATTTTTTACAGAGTTTTTAGGTTATTTGTTGAAGTTGCCACTTTTGTCATTCGATTTTGACACTTCAATGTCCTAACAGAAGGTTCAAAATTAAATTTTGACGAGTGATTCCACTTTGGTTGGGCGTCAAAATTTTCACCTTTCAAGCTTTTAATTCCACATCAAACCCAAAAATGAAGAATTTTTCAGACAGTTTTTAGATTATTTTTTAAATTCGTCACTTGTGTTATTCGATTTTGACACTTAAATGTCCTGACAGAAAGTTCAAAATTAAATTTTGGCCAGTGATTCCACTTTGATAACAAAGAAAAATTTGCCGTCAAAATGCTCAACTCTCAAGTTTTTAATTCCAGATTGATTAGACCAAAAATAAATCTTTTTGCTGAAAACTTGTAGGTTATTTTTTGAATTTGTCAATTGTGTTATTCGATTTTGACACTTAAAATGTCGTGACAAAAGGTTCTAAATTAAACTTTGACAACTAAATCCTCTCTAGTGTCAGAAGAACAACTGGCGTTAAAATTTTCACCTTTTAAGCTTTTAATTCCAGATGAAACCAAAAAATGAAACATTTTCTACAAAGTTTTTAGGTTATTTTTTTAAGTTGCTACTTTTGTCGTTCGATTTTGACACTTAAATATCCTAACACAAAATTTACTAATATTAAATTTTGACAAGTAATTCCACTTCGACAACAAAGAAAAATTTGGCGTCAAAATGTTCACATTTCCAGTTTTTAATTTCGGATTAATCCAAAAATGAATCATTTTGCTCAAAACTTGTAGGTTATTTTTTTAAATTTGTTACTTCTATCATTCGATTTTGACACTTAAAATGTCCTGACAAAAAGCTCAAAAATAAATTTTGACAACTGTATCCTCTGGGATGTCAAAAAAACCTTTGGCGTCAAAATTTTCACCTTTTATGCTTTAAATTCCAGATGAAACCAAAAAATGAAATATTTTCTACATAGTTTTTAGGTTATTTTTTTAAACTGACACTTTTGTCAATCGATTTTGACACTTAAATATCCTGACAGAAGGTTCGAAATTAAATTTTGACGTGCGATTCCACTTTGGTTGGGCGTCAAAATTCACACCTTTTAAGCTTTTAATTCCAGATTAAACTAAAAAATGAAACATTTTCACAGTTTTTAGGTTATTTTTTTTAAGTTGTCATTTCTATCATCCAATTTTGACACTTAAATAGCCTGACAGAAGGTTCGAAATTAAATTTTGACGAGTGATTGTCCTTCGGTTTGGTGTCAAATTTTTCATCTTTCAAGCCTTTAATTCCAGATCAAACCAAAAAAACGAAGCATTTTGAACACAGTTTTTAGCTTATTTTTTAAATTTGTCACCTACGTCATTTGATTTTGAGACTTAAATATACTAACAGAAGGTTTACTAATATTAAATTTTGACAACTAATTCCACTTTGACAACAAACAAAAATTTGGCGTCAAAATGTTGACGTTTCAAGTTTTTAATTTCGGATTAAACCAAAAATGAATCATTTTGCTCAAAACTTGTGTGTTATTTTTTGAATTTGTCAATTGTGTCATTCGATTTTGACACTTAAAATGTCTTGACAAAAGGTTCTAAATTAAACTTTGATAACTAAATCCACTCTGGTATCAGAAGGACGTCTGGCGTCAAAATTTTCACCTTTTAAGCTTTTAATTCCAGATGAAACCAAAAAATGAAACATTTTCAACATAGTTTTTAGGTTATTTTTTTAAGTTGCCACTTTTGTCATTCGATTCTGACACTTAAATATCCTGACAGAAGGTTCAAAATTAAATTTTGACGAGTGATTATCCTTCGGTTTGGTGTCAAATTTTTCACCTTTCAAGCCTTTAATTCTAGATCAAACCAAAAAATGAAACATTTTGCACACAGCTTTCAGTTTTTTTTTTTAATTTGTCACTTGTGTCATTCGATTTTGACACTTAAAATGTCCTGACAAAAAGTTCAAAATTAAATTTTTATAACTGTATCCACTGGGATGTCAAAAAAACCTTTGGCGTCAAAATTTTCACCTTTTAAGCTTTTAATTCCGGATTAAATAAAAAAATTAAGTTTTTAGGTTATTTTTTTTAATTTGTCATTCGATTTTGACCCTTAAATGTCCTGGCAGAAGGTTCTAAATTAAATTTTGACCAGTGATTCCACTTTGGTTTGGCGTCAAAATGTTCACCTTTCAAGTTTTTAATTCCAGATTAAACCAAAAATGAATCATTTTGCTCAAAACTTGTAGGTTACTTTTTGAATTTTTCAATTGTGTGATTCGATTTTGACACTTAATATATCCTGACAAAAAGTTGAAAATTAAATTTTGACAACTGAATCCACTTTGGTGTCGAAGAAACGTTTTGTCGCCAAAATTTTCACGTTTTGAGGTTTTAATTCCAGATGAAACCAAAAAATCAAACATTTTCCACACAACTTTTAGGTTTTTTTGTTTAATATGTCGGTTGGCATTCGATTTTGACACTTAAATATTCTGGCAGAAGAATCAAAATTATATTTTGAGGAGTGATTCCACTTTGGCAACAAAGAAAAATACGGCGTCAAAATTTTCACCTTTCAAGCTTTTAATTCCAGATTAAATAAAAAAATGAAACACTTTCCACACAGTTTTTAGGTTATTTTTTTAAATTTGTCATTCGATTTTGACACTTAAATGCCCTGACAGAAGGTTCTCAATTCACTTTTGACGAGTGATTCCACTTTGGTTTGGCGTCAAAATGTTCACCTTGCAAGTTTTTAATTCCAGATTAAACCAAAAATGAATCATTTTGCTCAAAACTTGTAGGTTATTTTTTGAATTTGTCAATTGTGTCATTCGATTTTGACACTTAATATATGCTGACAAAAAATTCAAAATTAAATTTTGACAACAGAATCTACTTTGATGTCCTAGAAAACGTTTGGCGTCAAAATTTTCACATTTGAAGGTTTTAATTGCAGATGAAACCAAAAAATGAAACATTTTCCACACTACTTTTAGGTTATTTTTTTTTTAATTTGTCACTTGTCATTCGATTTTGACACTTAAATATTCTGGCAGAAGATTCAAAATTGACGAGTGATTCCACTTGGGTAACAAAGAAAAATTTGGCGTCAAAATTTTCACCTTCCAAGCTTTTAATTCGAGATTAAATCAAAAAATGAAACATTTTCCACACAGTTTTTATGTTATTTTTTTAAATATGTCATTCGATTTTGACACTTAAATATCCTGACAGAAGGTTCAAAATTAAATTTTGACGAGTAATTCCACTTTGGTTTGGCGTCAAAATTTTCACCTTCCAAGCCTTTACTTCTAGATCAAACCAAAAAATGAAGCATTTTGAACACAGTTTTTAGGTTATTTTTTAAATTTGTCACCTACGTCATTTGATTTTGACACTTAAATATCCTAACAGAAGGTTTACTAATATTAAATTTTGACAAGTAATTCCACTTCGACAACAAAGAAAAATTTGGCGTCAAAATGTTCACGTTTCAAGTTTTTAATTTCGGATTAAACCAAAAATGAATCATTTTGCTCAAAACTTGTAGGTTATTTCTTGAATTTGTCAATTGTGTCATTCGATTTTGACACTTAAAATGTCCTGACAAAAGGTTCTAAATTAAACTTTGACAACAAAATGCACTCTGGTGTCAGAAGAACGTCTGGCGTCAAAATTTTCACCTTTTAAGCTTTTAATTCCAGATGAAACCAAAAAATGAAACATTTTCAACATAGTTTTTAGGTTATTTTTTTAAGTTGCCACTTTTGTCATTCGATTCTGACACTTAAATATCCTGACAGAAGGTTCAAAATTAAATTTTGACGAGCGATTTCACTTTGGTTTGGCGTCAAAATTCTCACCTTTTCAGCTTTTAATTCCAGATTAAACCAAAAAATAAAGCATTTTGCACACAGCTTTCAGTTTTTTTTTTAATTTGTCACTTGTATCATTCGATTTTGACACTTAAAATGTCCTGACAAAAAGTTCAAAATTAAATTTTGACAACTGTATCCACTGTGGTGTCAAAAAAACGTTTGGCGTCATAATTTTCACCTTTTAAGCTTTTAGTTCCAGATTAAACCAGCAAAATGAAACATTTTCCACACAGTTTTAGGTTATTTTGTCAATTCTGTCATCCGATTTTGACACTTACATATCCTGACAGAAAGTTCAAAATTAGAATTTGACGAGTAATTCCACTTTGGCTTGGCGTCAAAATTTTCATCTTTCAAGCCTTTAATTCCAGATCAAACCAAAAAAATGAAGCATTTTGCACACAGCTTTCAGTTTTCTTTAATTTGTCACTTGTGTCATTCGATTTTGACACTTAAAATGTCCTGACAAAAAGTTCAAAATTAAATTTTGACAATTGAATCCACTTTGATATCAAAGAAACGTTCGGTGTCAAAATCTTCACATTTGAAGCTTTTCATTCCAGATTAAACCAAAAAAAAAACATTTTGCACACATTTTTTAGGTTATTTTTTTTAGTTTGTCAATTGTGTCATTCGATTTTGACGCTTAAAATGTGCTGATAAAAGGTTCAAAGTTAAATTTTTACAAACGAATCCACTTGTTACCAAGTTTTGCCCGTGAGTTTAAACTTCTACCCTAAATCGTGATTCTTGGCCCAGTAATACCACCTTCACAACAAAATAAAAAAAAAAACACAAACAGGCACATGCAAAATCAGGTTAACCAACTTCACGATGCAAACTCAAACTAACTCAAATGAAATCTACGGTCGGGCAGCCTCAGCCATGCTACTTTTACCCCTCGAATTCGCCCTCTGGGCCACCTTGATAATTTTCCCTCTCTTTTTGTGGTGGAACGGATTGCCTTCGCTTTTCGATTTCGCCAAACTAAAATTCTGCGCCCGACTCTCGTTATCGCAACTACCCGCACTGTCGTCCGTACTCTCCCCCTTGTCGACGCTCTTACAGCAAACGTCGGCGTTATTATTACTATTATAAAACTCTTTGTCAATTCTCGTCGTCTCGATTTCCAACGGGAAATCCGATATGCTGCCCAGACTGTGACTTTTACTGTGCTTTTTTGTACGGTTGGTAACACAATACTCTTGCCCCGCCACCTTGATCACCATCGTCGTGTTATCGACGGGCTGGCCTGACGGCCTTTTGGGCGACTTTTTCGCCGGTGGCTCTACTGCAAGGAACTTTGGTTAAAGCCGGTCCTGGCGCTGCCGGACTTACCGTTTTCGTCTTGGGTGTCGATGAAGTCGATGTCGGGGTCGGGGACCGACAGGTGCTTCTCGGTGCGCTTCACGGTAGTGAGGCCCCCTTTGGGGCCCGAGTAACAGCCAATTATGGAAGAACAGCCAGTTTCGTACTCGCCGAGCTCGTAGTTGGGGAGATCGGTGGGGTTCTTACCGTAAATGATCGGGGGGCCCTCGCGCAGAGTAACATGTCTGCAAAACTCTTTCAGTTGGGTCAAACCAAAAGCGAGAAAGTTGTTACCCTTGGAGGTACTTCGTAACAAAGGAATTTTCGTTTATGTTGTGTCTTTTGTCGCGGGGCTCGTTGTGGAAGCTCAGCTGCCTAAAATAGCTAGAGACGCGTTTTCGAAGCGATGGCATCGTGTTTGCTGCGGAAAAACAGGAGGTAAATATTTATGTTTACATTCAGGTTAACCTACCTGATATGACGACGGATATCGTAGTGTAAATATTATTCTAGTGCGATGATTGGTCTAAATTGTGGTCTTATTACTACATTTAAGCTAAAATACTTGGTTTACGGACGATATCATGGTTTGTTTAATTTTTTTATTAATTAAGTTGTTGGATGGGCACACCCATGTTGTGCCATTGCACGCTTGACAGATTTGTCACCAGATCGGGCGACGAGTGATGAAAATCCCCAGCGCCGCATAACGGGTTGCCTACACACAAATTATTTTTTAAACAAATTAACAAAACACAATTTAGGAAGATAAAACATTGTAATGTAGTTGTGAATTCACAAAACCGTGAAAAAACAAAGTTTCGTTGTAAAAGTCGCCACCGTTGGATGTCGCTCCCGTCAAAAATTTTATTATCAAAAATTGTATTTTTTTGTACATAATTAATTCATAAAATAAAATTATTCTTGCTATAAAATAAGAAACTCCAGTTTGTTTTTTTACGGTTTTGTTTGCCTCGCTTTTCGTTGTTGTTCACATAGGCCGAATTCTTTCTCTTGTTATCGCAAACAACTACGCCGACTTTTTCCCGCTTCTTCGAACTTTCCCCAAAAATGCGTAACCCCAAAATAGCCTCTTTTGTCCCCGTCACTACGCGTATTTTTACCCACTAATTAAAATTAAAAGTCTTTAACCCCAGCATTTCCACCTGGCCCTCTGCCAGCCCCGGCACTACTGCTTCCCGCACGGTTGGTTGCCTATCCAGCATCGATTTTTCCGCCTCATTGACATCGATCCTATTTTTACGCTCCTCGGCCAAAAATAGCCCCCAAACAGATGATTTTGCGTCGCACGCCGCAATAAATCCCTCTGATATCAACACAAAAACAAAAAACAGCGTGCATCGAAGTGTCGTTGTTTGATTATTTTAGGACCAGACAGTGACCTCAGCTTTATTTGTACGCAAAAAGCGTCTTTGTCAACAAAATCATAAGGTCTAAGTGCTGATCACGGTAAATGCGGAGCGGACCCCACAGGAAGTGGTGGTTCCACACTGAAACATCGTGCCGCTTGTCCGAATTCCGTTACTGCGAAATTCGCACCTAACAAAGAAACAACTTCGTATTTGGCCGGTGGCCAAGTCTGCGTGGCCTCTGCGCTGGAAAATCGTGGAAAAGCGGCTTTCCCGGGGGTGCTTTCGCCCCAATTTGTATTTATAGCAATGCTGTCAGCCGGTTTCGGGTGGCCACGACGTGGGCCTTTGCTTCGATTACGTAAATTTGCGAAAAACTGCATGACATTTGGGAAAATTCGCACAGACAACGTGGAAGGGTAAACACGCTTATAAATAGAAAGTTGTCGACGATTCAGCTTAGTATGACGCGGACTTTCACAGATCGAGTCGTCGCGACGCCACCACCACGAAAACCTGTTAATTGCCTGCATCGCACTTGCTTCCGGGGGAGTTTCGGAGGGTTTTTTGGGCTTCTGTGTGACACGTTCTTGCGTTTTACGCTTGTTGGAAGGTCTTGCGTCTGGATTTGCGTCTTCATTTTGGAAGTCGTTGTTAAGGGGACGTACAGGAGGAGGTGAGTACCTGGAGGGTAGTGCCCCCGCGGTGGGTCAATTAGCGGCTTCTGGGAACACCGGCATGATTTGCGTTTGTTGGCAAACACGGATCGCACAGCTGTTCCCTAATGACTTTCTGGAAATAGTCGGATTTTAATAATAGCGCAAGGTCATGGAAATCGCGTTGTTGTAGGTGAGATGCCGACGGAGTGCATTACCAACCCTCTACAGAGGGAACTGGCGGATTCCATCATTCGGATGGTACCACTGGACGAAATCCGGATTTTGCTGGCTTGTGGGGCTAAGGTGAGTACCATTGTTACTACGGAGGGTGTTCTGACACGTGCTTCCAGGTCAATGAGCCTGTGACGCAGGGTTTGATGCCCATCCACTACGCCGTCTGGCAAAGGTACTACGAAGCAGCCCAGTTGCTACTGACTAGAGGCGGTGATGTTAATGCGGTGGATGAGTGCGGCTACAGCGCCTTGCATCTTTCAGCGGAACACGGGTACTTCAACCCCATCCCCTCATTCTTCATTCTTCTTTATTTATCTTCATAGATACACGGAAATCGTTCGTCTTCTTCTTCTGTCGGGCGCTAAAGTTAATTATCGCCCTAATACTGATGAAGACTTCCCGAGGACTACGCAGTGCGACGAACCTCTGCGTCTTGCCATTAGGAACAAGCACATGGAGATAGCGCGGATGCTCCTAGAGAATGGGGCTGACCCCAATAAGCGCTATTTCTTCGGTGCCGAGATCAATCTAGTGACGGATTTGGAATTTCTCGAGTTGTTGCTCACTTTCGGTGCTAACCCCGACAGTAGAGATAGGTCTGGGTTGACCCCTTTGATGAAAGCAGTCCGACAACCACAAGGCATGGAAGCGGCTCTTATTCTTCTCAAATATGGCGCGGACGTGAACGCTATGGCAGACGAAAGGCACGATTACAGAACGGTACTGCATTACGCGGTACTATCAGGCAACTACGAAATCATCAACTTGATTATAAAACAAGGCGCCAAGTTGAACTACGACGAGGAGTTCGATTTAGGGAAACCCAGTCCTCTGGACTTAGCGATTCTAAAAGGGGATCCGAAGATCGTAGAACTGTTAATTCAATCAGGTACGACTTTACTTTCCTCAAACAACGACTACATTTTTCTTTCTAGGAGCTAACGTGAATTGTAGCTCACCCATCATTGGATCACCCTTACACGTAGCTTGCGCCGATAACATCTCCAACCGGTTCGAGATCCTCCAGGTACGTACGTACTACCTCCGTCCACCAAAACCACTACTTTTCTTTGTAGATGTTGTTGAAGGCCGGCGCTGACCCAAACCTCAAGGTTTACAACGACGTCTACGACAACAACTCGCAGCTGAGACCCGTCTTGGTGGAGTACTTAGCCAGTAACACGGATCCAAATCTCACGATCATCAGTCTTCTGATCCGATATGGTGCCAGAGTGATAATGAAAACCCAATTCCGTGATCCGGACGGTATGCTCAACTCTCTCCACAACGTGATCGGAAGCGATTCGATTTTCTCGCTTCTGTTGGAAGCCAGTGAATCTTTCGACGTTTGTATGATCAGAAGGAACAACGTCATCACGCCGGAGCAGAAGGAGACTTTGTTGAAGTTGGCCAGATATCCGCTGAGTTTGCGCAAACAGGTTAGGTTCTTTTTGAGGAAGCTGATTGGAGGGATTAAGCTGATGGAGTCGGTTGGGGGTTTTGAGCTGCCGAAGTGTTTGGAGAAGTATCTGCTTTTTGATTATAGTTGATGTGATATTTTGTGATTTGGTGCGTCTTTTTGGGCGCTTTTAATTTGTATCTTTTCAGTCCTGAGACTTGCTTGAATCCCGTAATTCCGATTTGTGGTATTATCTTGTTTAAGCTTCAGTTTTGTAACCTGTGGTTAGGTAGTAGTTTTGTATATTTTTATCCTTCTTTTACCTTTGTTCAAATTTATATATATTTGTAATCATCACGTTTAATAAAGTGGAAATATGTTAGGAAGCTGTTTTATTTCGCGGTGTCTATTTTTAGAAGAACTTTGGCCCTGCTTTGCATCAAAGTCAAAACGTTTGGAACTTCCTCGTGATTTTCGTTAACGCATTTTATTAAAGTTAATGAGTCATCTCGATTTTTTCCTTTCTACCTTTTGCAACTTCAGTAGATTTCATATCGATCCTTCAAGGGCTACTTCTAGAGGTTCACTTTCGAAGAAAAAGAACTTATGAGGAAACAAAAGCCTTGAGAGGGAAACAAAAACACAAAACACTTTCAAAAATTTTCTAACCCCAAATTTTCCATTTTAAACATGTTTTAAGTTTTATGTTGTGAAAAGAGGTCTACACATACGAAAACAAAAAGGCAAAATGTAAGCCCGCCCACCCACCCTGTCTCAATTGTGATGATTTTTTTTATTCGCCGTGAACCAAAGGGACGGATCTTAACTGCTAAATACTTATTTATTTACAAGCAAATTAAAAACGTGATTTTGAGTATCGTATTGTTCAAAGAAGACAACAAATTATGAAAATAGAGTAAAAATATAAACCCCGCCCTCCCACCCCATCTCAATTGTGATGATTTTTTTTATTCTTAGAAACTTACAACAGGTTTAAAATGGTAAATTTCTGTAGCGAAATATGGATTTTGCAATTAGGCTCCGCCCCTAGGTCTGGCAACGAATAAAAACTTCATCACTGTTTAGATCAGGGGATGGGTGGGGTTCAATCTTTGGCTATAATTAAAAACATGTTTTTAATTTCTCGTAGAGAAATAAAGATTTTTCAGTTAAGCTCCGCCTCCTTGGCTCACGACGAATAAAAAAATTATCACAATTGAGACAGAGCGGGCTACTTCTAGAGGTTCACTTTCGAAGAGGAAGGACTTATGGGGAAACAATAGCTTTATAGGAAAAAAAAACACAAAATACTTTCCAAAATTTTCTAACCCTATTGCATCACCACCCTTTTAAAATATACACCTTTCCAATTATTTTTCAATTTTGTAGTTTTTCTGTTTTAGAATTATGTTTCAATTTTTTTTAATGATTTCATTTTCAATTTTATATTTATGCAACTTTTCAGTTTTCCAATTTAATAATAATTTTTCGATTTTACAATAATTAAACAATTTTTCAGTTTTGTTATTTTGTAATATTTTGATTTTTATGATCTATGTTTTTATTCTTTCCTTTTCATATTCAATTTAATAACTTTGCAATTTTTCAATTCTGTAATTTTGAATTTTTTGATTTTGTTTCAGTTTTATAATTTTACAATTTTTCGATTTCTCAATTATCCGGTTTTTAATGAACCAATTTTTGAATTTTTTTCGTTTTTTCAATTATTCAATTTTTGATCTCTCAATTATCCGAATTTCATTTTTCGATCTTCCAATTATTTGATTTTTAATTTTTCAACTTGTTCTATTTTCAATTTTATGTTTATGCAATTTTTCAGCTTTCCAATTTAATAATTTTTCGATTTTTCGATAATTAAACAATTTTTCGGTTTTGTGATTTTGTAATATTTTGATTTTAATGCTCTATGTTTTTATTTTTTTATTTTCATTGAATTGAATTTTTTGATTTTTTTTTTCAGTTTTATAATTTTACTATTTTTCAATTTCTCAATTATCCGGTTTTTAATGAACCAACTTTCGAATTTTTTTCGTTTTTAAAATTTTTCGATTTTTTCAATTATTCAATTGTTGATCACTCAATTATTCGAATTTCGTTTTTCGATTTTCCAATTTGATTTTTAATTTTGCAGAATTTCAATTTTGTAATTTTTCTATGTTGCAATTATATTTCAACCTTTCGATTTTAAAATTATTCTATTTTCAATTTTACAATTATAAAATTTTTCGGTTTTGTAATTTTGTAAGGTTTTGATTTTTTAGTTCTAGATTTTTCCAATTTTTCGATTTCCCAATTATCCAGTTTTTAATGAATCATTTATATCCAAGACTTTCCAAATTTTCAATTTCTAAGTTTTTCGGTTTTGGAATTTTTGGATTTTTCAATTTCATAATTTTACAATTTTTCGATTTTCCGATTATTTGATTTTTAATTTTTCAACATTTTATTTTTCAATTTTGTAATTTTTCTGGTTTACAATTATATATCAATTTTATTTATATTTATGCAATTTTTCAGTTTTGTGATTTTGTAATATTTTGATTTGTTAGTTTCACATTTTTACAATTTTTCGATTTCCCAATTGTCAAGTTTTTAATGAATTAATTATTATAAGACTTTTCAATTTCTCGATTTCTTCAATTTTTTGGGTTTGAAATCCTTCGATTTTTCGCTTTCTAATTGTTGGCTTATTCAATTTAATAATTTGACAATTTTTCTATTTTGTAATTTCGCTTTTTTTTTATTTTTTCCAGTTTAATAATTTTACAATTTTTTGATTTTTCAATTATCCAATTTTTTTTAACCAACTTTTCAATTCCCTTTATTTTTAAAATTTTTCGTTTCTTTCAATTATTCAATTTTTGTTATCTCAATTATCCAAAGTTCATTTTTCGATTTTCCAATTATTTGATTTTTAATTTTTCAAATTTACAAAAATTATACAATTTTTCAGTTATGTGATTTTGTAAAATTTTGATTTTTTAGTTCTATATTTTTAGAATTTTTCGATTTCCCAATTGTCCAATTTATAATGAATCAATTATAAGACTTTCCAATTTCTCGATTTTTCAATTTTTTAGTTTTGGAATCCTTCGATTTTCATTTTCCAGTTCTTCGTTATTAAATTTAATAATTTTACAATTTTTCAATTTTATAATTTCGCAATTTTTTTGTTTTTTCCAGTTTCATAATTTTACAATTTTTCGATTTTTCAATTATCCAATTTTTTTAACCAACTTTTCAATTTTCTCTATTTTTAAAATTTTTCATTTCTTTCAATTATTCGGTTTTTAATTTGTCAATTTAACAATTATATTTCAAATTTTTAAAATTATTCTATCTATAATTTTATATTTATGCAATTTTTCAGCCTCCTTGGTTCACGACGAATAAAAAAATTATCACAATTGAGACAGGGCGGGCTATTTCTAGAGGTTCACTTTCGAAGAGGAAGGACTTATGGAGAAACAATAGCTTTATAGGGAAAAAAAAACACAAAATACTTTCCAAAATTTTCTAACCCTATTGCATCACCACCCTTTTAAAATATACACCTTTCCAAATATTTTTCAATTTTGTAGTTTTTCTGTTTTAGAATTATATTTCAATTTTTTTGAATGATTTCATTTTCAATTTTATATTTATGCAACTTTTCAGTTTTCCAATTTAATAATAATTTTTCAATTTTACAATAATTAAACAATTTTTCAGTTTTGTTATTTTGTAATATTTTGATTTTTATGATCTATGTTTTTATTTTATTCTTTCCTTTTCATATTCAATTTAATAACTTTGCAATTTTTCAATTCTGTAATTTTGAATTTTTTGATTTTGTTTCAGTTTTATAATTTTACAATTTTTAGATTTCTCAATTATCCGGTATTTAATGAACCAATTTTTGAATTTTTTTCGTTTTTTCTGTTATTCAATTTTTGATCTCTCAATTATCCGAATTTCATTTTTCGATCTTCCAATTATTTGATTTTTAATTTTTCAACTTTTCGATTTTAAAATTGTTCTATTTTCAATTTTACATTTATACAATTTTGCATTTTTTTTATTTTTTCCAGTTTATTAATTTTACAATTTTTTGATTTTTCAATTATCAAATTTTTTTTAACCAACTTTTCAATTTCCTTCATTTTTAAAATTTTTCGTTTCTTTCAATTATTCAATTTTTGATATCTCAATTATCCGAATTTTATTTTTAGATTTTCCAATTATTTGATTTTTAATTTTTCAAATTTACAATAATTATTCAATTTTTCAGTTATGTGATTTTCCAATTATTTGATTTTTAAGTTTTCAACTTTTCGATTTTAAAATTGTTCTACATATTTTCAATTTTATATTTATGCAATTTTTCAGTTTCGTGATTTTGTAATATTTTGATTTTTTAGTCCTATATTTTTACAATTTTTCGATTTTTCAATTTTTTGGTTTTGGAATTCTTCGATTTTTCAGTTTAATAATAATTCTGCAATTTTTCGATTTTGTAATTTTGCAATTTTTTGTTTTTTTTTCAGTTTTATAATTTTATAATTTTTCGATTTTTCAATTACATATCCGGTTTTTAATGAACCGATTTTTCAATTTTCTTCGTTTTTAAAATTTCTCGTTTTTTGATCTCTTAATTATCCGAATTTCATTTTTTAATTTTCCAATTATTTGATTTTTAATTTTTCAACTTTTCAATTTTAAAATTGTTTAATTTTCAATTTTATATTTATGCAATTTTTCAGCTTTCCAATTTAATAATTTTTCGATTTTTCGATAATTAAACAATTTTTCGGTTTTGTGATTTTGTAATATTTTGATTTTAATGTTCTATGTTTTTATTTTTTTATTTTCATTGAATTGAATTTTTCGATTTTTTTCAGTTTTATAATTTTATTATTTTTCAATTTCTCAATTATCCGGTTTTTAATGAACCAACTTTCGAATTTTTTTCGTTTTTAAAATTTTTCGATTTTTTCAATTATTCAATTGTTGATCACTCAATTATTCGAATTTCGTTTTTCGATTTTCCAATTTGATTTTTAATTTTTCAGAATTTCAATTTTGTAATTTTTCTATGTTGCAATTATATTTCAACCTTTCGATTTTAAAATTATTCTATTTTCAATTTTACAATTATACAATTTTTCGGTTTTGTAATTTTGTAAGGTTTTGATTTTTTAGTTCTAGATTTTACCAATTTTTCGATTTCCCAATTATCCAGTTTTTAATGAATCATTTATATCCAAGACTTTCCAATTTTTCAATTTCTAAGTTTTTCGGTTTTGGAATTTTTGGATTTTTCAATTTCATAATTTTACAATTTTTCGATTTTCCGATTATTTGATTTTTAATTTTTCAACA